GTGTTTTGTTTGTGTCATGACTTGTGTGTGGGCGTTTCCAGGTATGATAAGCTTAAACATGGCATGTGTGTATAACGACCAACATGATACGTCTGATGGAGTCGTATTTGGTGGTGTGTGTTCGTGTGTGAGCTTTGATAGCAACCATAAGCTTAAGATGGCTCATATGTGTGGCTTCCGGAGAGCTTCGGATGACGTTATGGAAGAAGGAGTTTATCCAGCAAGAGAGGGGGTGGGCGCGTGCGTGCGTGTGCGGGCGTGAGGGTTCGGGGGGCACGCAATCGCAAAGTCCCACACCAGTTGCCTTGTTGACATTATAGTTAATGCAGCAGAGGATAGGGGTTGACGTAGATACACATGTGAGATTAGCTGTTAAGAGGTGCGGGTTTGTGTAGCGTCTTGAGCTGGTTTGTGGTGCTTACCCCAAACGCCGGCGTCAAGGCGATTCAAGGCGTCAGCCTCGCCAAGTCAAGGTGAGCGTAGCACGAAACAGGCAGGCAGGCATGCGGTCGTGGTCGTGCAATCGCATCTGGTCCGACGTTCAAGCTGCCGCGCTTTGATCGTTTGTTTTCGCCACTGCCATTGGCGTTTTTCGAGGCATCGCCATGGTTTCAAGCGGTGAACTGCCAACCGAACAGCAAGAAGACAAGAAGACAAGAATGGTGGTCTCGAAGCCGTCGTTCCTGTCTACCTGAACTCGGACACCGGAATCATGATTTCACCAGAAGGCTGTTTAGCACTCCAGCTGCATGCGACTCCCTTTCTGAACAAGCTAGCCAAACTTCCAAGCACACACACATGCAGCGTCGCGTCGTCATCAGAGTGTGTGCTGTCAGGACATTGGGCCTTGCTTACGAATGAAAGAGGGGGTGTGGCGTTCGGCGCAGATGACAGGATCTTGTTTTGTTCGGTTGTAACACGGTGGCTGAGCGCGTGCCTTTCTGTCCTGCTTGTGATAGTCTGTCCCAGAGGGTGGGACATAAACGCAACACGCTGCTGCAGCGTGTCTCTTGATGCCCAAATTATCCTGACAATATTGTCAGCATTTTAATGATGGCGCTCTGGTTCAGCTCTGGGCGCTGCACAGTTTTTGTTCGCACAATAGTGCCGGAATGGATTTGAAGAGCCCATTGCTTCGCGTTTTCTGACAGTACGGAAGGGGTCAAAGACGTCTCGCCGCGATGATCACATGAAAAGTCGAAGAGATTCATTTGGCCGCGTTGCCATGTACTCAAGCTGGCTCGTCCGCCGTCAGATATGGTCGCTCGCATCAGAGCTAAGATTGATCTGACCAGTGATAAGGGGAATCCCGTAATGTGAGGCGATACACGTTGACATACAAGCACCAATTGCGCGGTACATGTACTCTGGAAGCAACAGGCGAGTAATGACTGGTAACGAGGCATTACACGTTGTACGTTCAAGCTTTAGCGCTTTGGAGTTTGCTTTTACGTATGACTTTTCTCGTTAACGTGTGTGTGTGTGTGTGTTTTCTTTGCATTTTCCACCTCTTGGTTGCTTCTGCCTTTTGCTTGTGATCTTCTTGTTCTTCTTCTTCTTGTTGTTCTTCTTCTTCTTGTTCTTCTTCTTTTTCCCCGGCATCGGCGGATTGCTTGGCGTGTCTAGCTTTATGTGTGGTGCTTGATCGCTTGTGCTTGGTCCGGGACTCTCCTCTTGTGGCGACAACAGAACGTGTGGCTGAGCGCATCGTTGCCACTTTTTTCTTTCCCGTGGTGTGAGTGCCACTGATCTCGCCTCGCAGTCGTCCGCGTGTGGTTGGGAAAACCAGCAAACCTGTACTTGTAACTGTCACCAAGAACTGTTGGCCAAAGGTGAGTCGCTTTGCGCATCCAGGGAGAAGAGCAAGGCCCGCTGACTCGCTGCCGTTTTGGGAACTGCACGCACCAAACCCGAGTCCGAAGTTTGTGTTGTCAGACAATTATATTAGGAGGGGGCTCATGAAATTGGTGGTGGACAGAGAAGCAAAAAAGCGGTTTCGAAGCGGATGGTGATCGAGAGGTACCGTTACCATGAGTGATCTTGAATCCCAGCTGCGGGATATATGCCGTTCATCAGATCCACAAGAGGCGCTGCTACGGTTGGCCCGTTGGGACTGCTCGGTATGATTTTGTGTGTTATTATTGTTTACACTTTGAGTGTAATGGTTGGGTGTGATGGTAAAGTCATGGACTGTATGTTTGCATCATCCAACAGGATGGCTGGACACCGTTGCATAGTGCCTGCTTTCGTGGTCATGACAAGGTGGTGGAGATGCTGTTGAAGCACGGTGTCGATACTGAAGTCAAGGACGACGTCAGTACAATAGCTCCCTCTTCCCCCCTTTACCCCCCTATGATGGTGAACGATGATGATGATGGTGCTGTACCTGCACGTCATGCTCATGCACCATCCCCACAGATTGGATGGACACCACTGCACAGGGCCTGCATGAAGGGTTATGACAAGGTGGTGGAAATGCTGTTGAAGCACGGTGTTGATGCTAGAAGCCAAGGACCGACGTCAGTACAATACCTCCCTCTTCCCCTTTACCCCCGCTATGATGGTGCACCTGCACCCCCCGATGATGAGATGATACTGTACCTGTACGTCATGCCCATGCATCATCCCACAGCATGGCGGACACCACTGCAATATGCGTGCTGTCATGGTCAAGTCAAGGTGGTGGAGATGCTGTTGAAGCACGGTGTTGACAAGGACGACGTCAGTACAGTACCTCCCTCTTCCCCCTTTACCCCCGCTATGATGGTGCACCTGCACCCCCCGATGCTGATGGATGATGCTCTACCTGTACGTCATGTTGATGCATCATCCCACAGGATGGCTGGACACCACTGCAATGGGCCTGCGTTACGGTCAAGTCAATATGGTGGAGATGCTGTTGAAGCACGGTGTTGATACTGAAGCCAAGGACAACGTCAGTACAATTCCTCCCTCTCCCCCCTTTACCCCCCCCCCATGATGGTGCACCTGTACCATGATGATGGGATGATACCGCACCTGTACGTCATGCTGATGCATCATCCCACAGCATGGCAGGACACCACTGCAATATGCGTGCTGTCATGGTCAAGTCAAGGTGGTGGAGATGCTGTTGAAGCACGGTGTTGACAAGGACGACGTCAGTACAGTACCTCCCTCTTCCCCCTTTACCCCCGCTATGATGGTACACCTGTACCACATGATGCTGATGGTGATGCTCTACCTGTACGACATGTTGATGCATCACCTCACAGGAAGGCTGGACACCACTGCATTGGGCCTGCGATTACGGTCAAGTCAATATGGTGGAGATGCTGTTGAAGCACGGTGTTGATACTGAAGCCAAGGACAACGTCAGTACAATTCCTCCCTCTCCCCCCTTTACCCCCCCCCCATGATGGTGCACCTGTACCATGATGATGGGATGATACCGCACCTGTACGTCATGCCCATGCATCATCCCACAGGGTGGCGATGCACCATTGCACAAGGCCAGCTATCAGGGTCATGATAAGGTGGTGGAGATGCTGTTGAAGCACGGTGTTGATGCTGAAGCCAAGGACAGGGTCAGTAAAGTACCTCCCTCTCCCCCCCCCCCTTTTCCCCCTTAAAGATGGTACACCTTTACAACAAGATGATGATGATGATGATGCTGCTGTACCTGTACGTCATGCTGATGTATCATCCCACAGAAAGGGGGTACACCACTGCACCGTGCCTGCGACAGATCCCACGTCAATGTGGTGGAGGTGCTGTTGAAGCACGGTGCTGATACCAAAGCTACGGACGACGTCAGTACAGGACCTCCCTCTTCCTCCCTCCCTCTCTGGCTGCTGCTGCTGCTGCTTCTGCTGCTCGTCGCCTTTGCCCCGTTTCTATCTCCTCTGCACCCTGCCCACCGTGCGCGTCCGATCTCCTGCCAACGCGCCTCTGCCTCCCTCGCGCGCTCGAGCGGCTTTCAGTGTCGTTTCTTCAAATTTACCCCGACACACCCGACGCTCCCCTCCGCCCCTTTTTTGAGAAAAAAAAAGTACTAACAGGCCTCATGTTGTATACTGTCTAGGACGGTCAAACGCCGCTCCATGCAGCCAGCAACGCCTTCTCTGCCAGCCGAAAGGTTGCCCGTCAGCTCTTGCGGCACGGTGCCGACCCGGATGCAAGAGATCTTGTAAGCCTTTTAGCCACGATGTTGTACTTTTGCGCTGTTCTGCGGCACCCGTGATTGACACCCGATAACCTGCTGTGGCAGAGGGGTGCACGACCCTTGGATCTGCTCCTTCGCAAGAGGCGCATCAAGCTCGAGGTGGGCCTTTTTTTGATTTGAAGTATTGATTGCAGAGGCAAAAGCTTGCTCACCGATGAACCTGTTGCACTTCGTAGCCGATTGAAGAACTATTGGGCGCAACCCGTACCCCTTGCTCCTACCAAACTTCGAATCCAAATGGTGCGAACCT